TTTTTTTTTTTTTTTGTATTAGCTAGATAGTTAAAAATTAAGTATTATTTTTTCATTATAAAATTACACTCTTGTTTTTAAAAGAAACATGATATCATGTGAAAATAAATTAATTGTAATTATATTTATTTTGGTTGTAGTAATGAAATAAAAATTCATAAAAAAATTATATATAATTAATAATTATATATAATTTATAATCATACTTTCATAAATGATAAGTAATTAATATTTTTAATACTATAAATTTATGTATAATTATTGTCTCCACAACATACAGTTTTTGGATTTGTCACTATATATAAATACGAAAGAAAGGTTTATCAACTTAATATTTTAAAATTTTAGATTATGATATAATGTCAAATTCACTTATATAATTTATTAATTTTGGTGGTCAACTCTCCAATAATAATAATATTATTTTTTAATAAATAAAATTTTCACCATTAAATATCTTAAAGCCTGCTAATATCATAAGTCATTGATCCTTCAAAGTTTTAGGTATTGTTAAAATAATTTTGATTCTAAAAATTATTGGAACGTATTCGCGATGATGATTGTGCAACAAAGAAGAAAAATATATTTTGATGGTTTCTACAACAAAGACAGGATATATATCAAAGGAAAAAAAAAAGCGTTTGTGAAACTCTCAATTACTTTAAGTTCAATTCAACCACCAATGTTTATTCAAAATGGAAGCAATAGTTTAATGGTTCTCTGAGATATACAATAGAGTCTCCTAATATAATTAGTACACCTACAAAAGTTTATATAGTTTAGGATAAAACGAAAATCAAATCACATAAAGGTTTTATAGAATGATGTTATATATTAGGATATTATTGTATTTAATTTAATTTTATTTTATTTTTTCTAAAGTAAAATAATTTGATGACAATTATAAAATCATTCTTAAAATTATTATATTATAAAGATGCATCTCTTTATACCTTTGAAGACATGATGAAAAATATTAAGTCTTCATTTTGTTCTCTTTAGCTATTTAATGATAGTTTTCTTAGCATAACAGTGGGTATATATAGTACGTGATTTCACTCTATCAATGTCAATGATAGTTAATAAAATAGTGTTTTCCTCAATTATCTCTATACACATGTGAAGAAAAAAAACAATTGAAAAAATAAAATAAAAATTAATTAATTTCTAAGTTATTGTTGTGTCATTATATATTATGTCTTTTGACAAAAAAAAATACAACTTAAAAATATACATTCTTTTATGAAAGAACACACATTTTCATTAACGATAAAACCTTTCATATTTGTACCTTTTTTTATAAATAGATACAATCATACAAGTTTTAAATTTATATCTTTTTATAGACACATTTGCATAAAAATAATAATAATTATTATTATAATAATAATAATAATAATAACCTTTCATTTAATTTTTAAAAATCTATCGCAAAAGTGAAAATAAAAATCAAGTGTGTCCAAATGCTTACGTAAAATAAAAACTTCACATGGATTTCTTGAAAACTATATCTCTAACTTAAGCCATTACAAGGAAAAGAAATGTACAGTCCTCTACTTCTAACATACATTGGACAAACAACATAAAGTACAAGCCTCTAATTTTTCACTTGTTTTATATCAAGCTAAATCTTTATTTCCCAGTATTCAATCATCTGAATTGCCACTGGTAACTGCAGGTTGTTGAGGCCTGTACTTGTACCTCTTTGAAACAAACAAATAGACAAAGAAGTTGATCAAGCTCAATATGGCAAGCAACAAGTAGAACAGGTTCAAGTGGTTTCTGTTAATATTGTTCCCTGCTAACCATCCTCCACTTGCAGTATTCTTGGTGGCACTATTCACGATTTTCACCATTATGGAACTTAGAAAATAGCCAAGGGCCATGGAGCACCAAAGGAAGCATGTTGCTGTGGACTTGAGGCCTTTTGGTGCCTCTGAATAGAAAAACTCAAGTAACCCCACGTAGGTAAACATGTCAGCTATGCCAAATACAAAATACTGAAAAGTGAGCCAGAATATGCTCAAAGGCAATGGCTGTTTTACTGGCAATGCATCAAGCATGTTGTTGTCTCTTGCAACTCCTTTTCTTTTGACTTCTATGATTGCTGCAATTGCCATGGAGATGGAAGAGAGTATTAGGCCTACTCCTATGCGCTGCAAGTGAGTCTCATCCAAAAAGAGGTAAAATTGAGACTTAACAAAGGGTCTACATACTAAACTAAGTTACCAACCTGTATGATCTCAATGATGCCATTTTTTGTATCTGCAACATGAATTCTGTATAGTGGCAATCCAAAGGCAAAGATAAAGGTGGCCAAAACAATAGCAATAGTGGAGACTCCAAATCCCCAGTCCCATCCATAGTGGTCTTGTACATACACATTAAACGTTAAGCTGATTGCACCACCAATGCAAATTGCCAATAATAGACCATTGAAGAAGCTTGACATTTGCATTGCTTCTTTGGGGTCTCTTTCATCAAACTGATCCGCACCATGTGATGGCAGGGAGGCCTTCAAACCTGCACTGCCAAAGGCCAACAAGTAGAGGCTAATGAAGAGAAATGCTTCTTGCTTCCCATTAAGCTTTTCACAATGCGCATCTTTCACATACAAGTTGCAAATTGGTGGCTTCAGGCTACCCATGTGTGCCTGTATCGTAAGCAATGCCAGTCCCTACAACACAGTTCACAACACATTCGTGTATTTGTGATTCAACAGGTTTTGAATAAGACAGAACAAAAGAGGTGTTTGTTGATCTCAAAACTGATTTAAAACTATTCAATTTGTTTTAAATAAATATTACTCTCTTTAGTCGTTACTAAAAGCATATTTCAGAAGGAAATGCATGAAATTTTTTTTTAATTTTTTTTCCTTATTAAAGATTATGAGTACATATACTTCTTATTATTGAATACTAAGAAGAGAATTAATAAATAAAGGTTGTCTCTCACCTCTTAAGTTCTGTAATTGTTATTTATCAATTTAATTTTATTGGTATTAGTAAAGTTTTGATGTGGAATAATATCTTTACTTCACAATTTAATAAGTAAAAAAAGTAAAATTCATACACCCTAATTTTGAGGAAAATATTATTAAAGATATCATTTTATAATGTTTGACAATTGACATATGTGTTAACTGTATCTTTTCCTTTGTCATTTTTTGGATATAATTTTGAAATGTTATTTCGTATTCCAGGTCTTCTTGTTAGCTAGTTAATATGTAGTTGTTATACTCATAGGGCCTTGGTCTTCTGGTTTTTTGTTTGTTTGGGCGAACCGTTTTAATTTTAAAATTATTTTCTAAAATCAAAATAAGCATTTAAAACTAAAATTAAAAAAAAACCAATTTTGCCTTAAATATTTTCATTTTTGTCCCATAAATATATTTTTAAAATTTATACAAAAATAGGGAAAAGAAAAACTCGCTAAAAAAATTAACACCAGTGACAAAACAATTTATATGTACCATTTAAAAAAATGTCGTTAAAATTTTTGTGATGCTAATATTAAAAAAAAATCACTAAATTTCTTTACTAATATATATATATA